AAGCCTCAATCTGGTGCACTTTGAGAGCAACATTAAGAGATCTATGGATACATCTCTCAACACCCATATGACACAGAACTGTAAACAGATTTTCTATTTCTTTATAGATATTTTTAAAATCACACACCCTTTTAAAACAAACCGTTTGAGACCCACTGAGATAACTAGACTAAAGTTAACTATCTAAACACTGAGAGCCCTTTACTTCACCTGAGCTGAGGTTATCTGAGACTCTCCGTCTGACAGGAGAGAGTTCTCCCTCCACCTTGTTGTTGAAAAAGCTCCTTATATCCGTTAGCTTGGCTAGCTAGCACCAGATGCTAACCACAACGATCTCCGGTAGATACCCACCGGTGCGCGAGGCGAGCTCTCTCTCTCTCGCTGGCTGGCACACACACACACACACACACACACACACACACACACACACACACACACACACACACACACACACACACACACACACACACACACACACACACACACACACACACACACACACACACACACACACACACACACACACACACACACACACACACACACACACAAACAGAGCAGAGCTTGAATGAAACACAGAGACCCAGAAGTAAGCTACTGTACTCACGAAGCATAGTATGTGCAGAATCCCTCTCGCTTTCAGGTGGTTTTGATTGAGCGTCCACACGTGGACGTTTAAGGACTAAAAAACGATCCATCTTTCACTTTGCTGTTAGCAAATAATTCGGTGCTCTAGCTAACAGGAAGTCACTCAAATGTCAAAGTAATTTAGCCTATGGGTAGGTCAAAAATCGAATGGGTGCTGGCCATTGGCCTAATCATATCACGTGTTGGCTTTATGTTTTTGGTCAAAAATGTGTTTGTTTCACATTTGCATTGATATAATCAATAATGTTTCTAATTTAATAAAAATAATAATAAAAAATAAAAAAAACATATTTCTTGGGGGTGCTTAGGGGGTGCTTTGGCAATCCTGGGTCAGCACCCCCTAGCTTCCCCCTGGCGCCGCCCCTGCACACCAAGGCTCTATCCACTGCGCCACACGCCTCCCTCCACGCTGATCATATCATAACTTCTTTTCTGAAATGAAATATTTTCAGAACATATTGGTGTCTGTAAATGCTACTAGTATACAAACTGTAGTATCATATCATGTCCTTTGTTTTCTGTCATGTTTGTATTAATGTTTGGAACTAATTGAAGCAGGTCACCATTGTAAAAGAGGTCTATGATCTCAATGGGTTTTATCTGTATAAATAAAGGTTTTGAATTGAATTGAATTGTCTTTCAAATCTCAGATTTTGTTGGTAGAATGGAGCTGAGACTGAAAGAAACATAACCATAAGCAGGGCTGCACATAACTGGTGCGCAGGTGCGCATGCGCACCTCCGCCAAAAAAAAAAAAAACGTGTCATTTGAGAAAAGGCGCATTTGCGTACCAACATTGAGAGAGAGAGGGAGAGAGAGAAGAGAGAGAAGGGAGAAGAGAAAAGAGAAAAGAGAGAAGAGAGGAGAGAGGAGAGAGAAGAGAGAAGAGAGAGAGAAATATATTTGCGAGTTGCATATGAACCTATGATATGAACTCAGGGCCGGCCCGTAGCACTGGCGTAATAGATGTTCGCCTAGGGCGCCAGATCTGGGGAGGCGCTGCGCTGGCAGTTCTGGGAGGGAAAAAAACATTTTTGACCGTTGGGGCTCATCCTAATTTTCGGCCTTGATGTAACAATATTCATAATTAAGTAAATGTAACACCCTTTTCACCCCGGTTACACGTTTCATTTGCCCTGTACGATGGGTGCTGTAAGTGATGACAATGGTACTTGCATACAATGCTGCGAATGGATCTGGCCCTTCCTACATCCAGGACATGGTTAAACCGTACACCCCAGCACGTGCACTCCGCTCTGCATCAACCAAACGGCTCGCTGCACCCTCACTGCGAAGGGGACCCAAGTTCCCATCAGCAAAAACACGTGGGTTTGCTATCCTGGCTCCAAGATGGTGGAATGAGCTCTCCATTGACATCAGGACAGCAGATAGCTTACACACCTTCCGGCGCAGACTGAAAACTCATCTCTTTCGACTCCACTTCGAGCGATAGAACTATTAACAAAGCACTTATATACTAATAAAGGGCTGGCTTATCTAAAGCCAGTTGAGTAGCACTTGAAATGTTTTTGCTCTATGAAGCCTGATGTACTTATATGATTCTGTTTTCTTCAAGTTTGTATTTTGTTGGTCGAACGCACTTATTGTAAGTCGCTTTGGATAAAAGCGTCAGCTAAATGCAATGTAATGATGAAAATGGGGGATGTTGGCTTATCTGGGGCCCGCAGCTCACAGCCAAAATGCGAAGGAGCGAGGGAGAGAGGGAGGGTGCACCGGTACCGGCGCTGTTGTTATTAGAATCTGGTGCTAGCTTCTCTAACGGAAGAAGAAGATGTTTCTACAATAATGTGGAGGGAGAGTCCTCTCCAGTCAGACTGAGAGGCTGATATCTACAGCTCAGTGAGGTAAAGGACTCTGAGTGTTTAGATCAGGCATCCTCAAACTACGGACTCCGGTCCGGATCCGGACCGAACCACCACTGTCTCCGGACTCTGAGCAAATTATACTTTTCACATGTATTATCTCTCTGTATTATATGTGAGACATCGCCACAACGCATTCGCAACGAGTAAAAATTCTCCGCTATGTCCACTGCAAACAGCGCTCTGCATGTCTGACTGTTCCACTGTGTTCCACCTGTGTGTGTCAACGCTTTGGTCCAATCACATTCAGCATCCAGTCAGCGTTTTTTCCCCCCAAACAATCTGCGAATCAGAGGCACAGTAGGGCGGGTCTTCGCGGAATGCGGGTGGGAAAAATGTGTGTGTCTCTTTCAACCTGTCTAAGTCAGAGCGAGAATAAAAAAAATAAATTAAAAAAATCAGAGCGAGAGTTAACAGCTCATCTAGTTCCATCTATACTGTAGCTAGTAGCCTAGTTTCACCTACCGGCGTGGCAACTGACACCCTAAAAATAGGCCTTGCCACCCCAGCTGCCACCCCAGTTGGCAGCTTTGTTTTGAAAGAAAAGTTGTGGCTCATCGGACATTTATGAGAGAAAGTCTCTAATGTCCGAGTGCAAGTGAATGCAGCACAAGATGCACGTCATGTAACCCCTCCCCCGGTCCTGGCGCGAGCGTGGACATACGATTTGGCGGCGATTTCATTTTTAACTGGACGGCGCAAACCGAGAAGCATTCGGACCCAAGCGCTGAAGGAATGAGGTATTTGCGGTCTACACTGACAGAGAAGAGCCTGTCAGTTTGACTGTACTCTGCATTGAATCAAAACGCACTAAAGCTGTTGATCTTAATACGTTTGTGAGGCGTTTTGCTGAACAAGATGGTAATCGCCGCATTCAGCTGTAATAGACATGTCAACTTGATGCTCTGCTCACGGATGAGCATACACAACTATTAAGATGATGACCTTACGTGTGTAAATATATTGTTTTCTTTGAGGGGGTCTGCCCCCAAAAAACTGTTTTAAGTCCTGAGAAAGTCAAATAAGACGGTGTTTAAAACTACACTGCCCAGCCAAAAAAAAGTAACCACTTTGATTTAACTAGGCCAGTAGGTAAGGACTTTCCACTGGATAATAACTGCAGTATAAAAGAATGCATGACTGAAGTGATGGAGACCATGTTGAAGGCAAACAAAAAGAGGAAATAACAGGTCAAATCAAGCAAATCCCCTCTCAGATTCCACAGCAACCAGAAGAACATAAATACTGGCTGGTGATTTGATTCATCAGCTTTGTGATGGAATAAAAAATGCACAGTGCCTTTCCTTAGCTGTGGGTGAGTCCACTGACACCACTGACAATGCTCAGTTGCTGGTGTTTGAGAGTTTTTATGATGAGGCAAAGGGGGAGTTTGTTGAAGATGTGTTGGGCCTGACGAACCTCAGTGGACACACAAGGGGGAATACATTTATAAAGCAATAATGGGAATGCTGAATGAAAGAGGGTGCAGCTGCCTTTATTCATAACTGTGCAGCTCTTACACTGCGACTCTGAGGCGTCAAGCACTGACACAATAACAATGAAAACTGCTGCATACAGATTATTTTTGTTTTTGCAACCTCATGTTAAGAATCTTGTTGCAATTGTTTAAAAGTTTGAATGACCGTAATAAACGGACCTTTGTCTTATTGAAACATTTATTTTGGACCTTTAAGATTTGTATTTGAGTGCCCCTGGTTTAGATAGTTCACTTTAGTCTAAGTTCAAACGGTTTGGTCACAATTTATGTAAACACATATTTCCAAGGCACTCCTTTATAATGATTGGGATAAAACAGGTTTGAAATCATTCCAATGTATACTATAGGACAGTAAACCAAAAAATATCCTTTAAAACTGGAGAGATAAAAAAAAAATGCATAAATAAATAAATGTTAAGGTAAAATAAGATATGAATGAACAACATAAATAAAATAAGTTACACTAATTTGTTATTGGCTATGGTAGGTTATTGGTTATGTTCACATACTTATTTGATTACATCCACTTTTCTAAGATGACAACAGAGACTTTCGACCCAAACCCAGCTGTTGACTTGTGGATGCAAGCAGCTAATCGCAGACTCAACCAGAGAGAAAGAAGTAGGCCTACATCATCAGCTACCATGTCTGACAGAGAGGAAGACAGTGAGGAGAACAGTCAGGAGGGTAGTGATGACAGCTTGTAGGATTGCTGGTCGTGCTAATGTTGTCTTGTGTTCACCTCTGCATGTGTGTTATGTGTTCACCTCTGCATGTGTGTTCTGTGTTCACCTCTGCATGTGTGTTCAGTGCTGTGTGTCTGGCAAATAAAGTCAAGACCCCCTCAAAAGTTACGGTTTATTTCATTTTAAGGATGAGCACCAAGCAACATCTCCAGGTGCTCCTTTGAGAACCAGGGCAAAAAAGTTATGTGCACCCCTGACCATAAGAATTGATAGAAGAACACCAACCTGATGATCCGCCTGCCTGCTTGCTGTGCTCTGCTGCTGCAGGCTGGAGGTGTTCTCCTGACTCACCAGCAGAGGGGGTCAGCTGCACAGAAAATCAGGCCACCAGTGAATCTCTGAAATGACTGAGGATAATATCCAAAGGCAAGTCAAAACTTAATTCAAATGTTTAACCAGGCTAAGTATGGTGTCACTGTGTGGTAGTAGAGGGAAGCAGATCTAACCTTTCCACTGTCCGCATTGTGCCGGGTTTGAACCCCGTTCTGTTTGTGTCTGCTCTCTGAGCTCTGACCGCTGCCAATGCTGCGGCCGCTGCGGCCGCTGCCCACACTGATCCTGTCCCCTGAGAGAACACACACACACACAGCACACACACACACACACACACCACACACACACACACACACACACACACACACACACACACACACAGCACACACACACACACACACACACACACACACACACACCACACACACACACACACACACACACACACTGAAATCAGCAGGTAGCAAGAAGCATCAGTTTATCAGTTCGAGCAAGAACAGTACAGCATGCCACTGCCCCCAGAATAACAGCTTCATGTTTACATTTCTGTTCTTGGAAAAATTAAACAAACCACATGTATTACAGATGTACGCACTTCATATCCTGCCTATCAATTCTCTCACCAAACTTTACATCGAAAAATACAACTAAGTGTATTTATCCAAATATCACCATTTTCTTTTCAAATGTTGCCAATTGCAGAACTTATCTGGAATTAAAGATGAAATCATTTATTTGCCTTTGAAAGACAGATCTCTACTCTAGATGAAATGACATGTTAGGAAACATGTTTTTTTATATTTCTGCAGCACAGGAGAGCTACCCACCACATCCTGCTGTGATACAACCATGGTTAGTGGATTACTGGGGTGTGGGGGGGTGGGGCTGGTGGGGGTTTATGAGCACACACCCTTACCAGTGGGAGAGCTCCTGAGGACCCAAATGTCCTGAGAGAGGGGCTAGCAGGACTAGCTGGGAGCTGACTGTCACATGGAGATCCTAACAAACACACACACACACACACACTTTAGACACACTCACTGTATAGCCCACATACAGGAGCTGGGATCCACCTAATGCATCAACAGAGGCTCAGGGTGCTGTATGGGGAGGGGAAGGTAAAACCTGGGAACATGGACGGATACAGACACAATGGGCATAGAACCGTAAAATCCACACCACCACTACTGGGAATTAGACCCCCAGAAGGACACTAAGAAAACCAGGGTCATGGGCCTTGGTCTTATTCAGGCTGAAGAAATGTGAAGACCATCCTCTACCAAGTCCTCATGTCTTCTGTGTCTGAGCCAAAAGTTGCAAATAAACACACCGTCCATTTTGTGACGATGATCTGGGCGTGCGTGACAGGAAATAACTCCAGCAGGCGGCACTAACATGCACTCATCGTTCCAAACAACACACTCTCACTCCCTAAGCGTCCAGGAGCGACGTTTGGTCAGTGTCCGTGGCGTCCAGTTGTGACGCTCCTAGGCTCCTTCAGCGTCATAAAGGGACGCAAATAGCTTTCAACTGATTGCAATGTATTCCCATCTGCGGCGGGATTTGACGCTCATGGAAGCACGGCATTCGTTTGTGTCGGCTGCCCTTAAAGGCAATGTGAGCGTCCATTCCCATTGGATAACGGAGAATTGTACACCCGGAAGTAAGTATTCCCCTTACTGTCGATTGATTTTACAGTGATATCTGCACTACTCATCGACTAAAAAACACCAGATTATCCTTGTTAATTACACAACATTGATTGGTTTAAATTGTGTGCAATGCTTTTGTATTTTTCCCCTTCGATTCTGAGAAACAAATGTTTTTTCTGAGTAAAGGATGGCAGAAGACACTACACTACCCAGAATCCCCAGCTATCGTTTGGACTACACCATGTGCTCTGTTTGACAAACCCCGTGATAGTCCTCAAGCTCTGTGATTGGAGAGTGTGCTCCGAGGGTTACGCCGATTCTCCAACAGCACTTGAAATGGGATGGAACCACGCAGACTGTCCAAAACTGGATTTGAACGGGTCCACCGTATTTCCCATAATAAGAAGTTGCCAGTATTAAACTGTGTACATCCCTGGAGGTTTAGGGGATAGGAAACACTCAAATGTAAAACATATAATTAATAAATGGGTGAAAATTGCTTGTGCCCATAATGGGCAGCATTAATATATATATACACACATGCCAGCTAAGGTCAGAAGAGCTTTATTTAACAGCTGGTCTTATGTTTTTGACCCCTCCTGTTGTTAATTGATAACATCACATTACATTACATGAATTGATAAGCCTGAAACATGCACTTGTCAAGGTTCAGAGGCAAATTTTGCAAATATGGCAGTAGCCATCGATCAGCTTAAGATAAGATATACTTTATTGATCCCAGGTTGGAAACATTTGCGTTACATCAGCATGTGTTACAGTTGTACATATGCAGTGGTGTTTATTTGTAAATTTAGTATAATCACACAAATTCTGTGTTTTATATTTAACAATTTTGTGTTCTTTATGTATTGATTGTTCAATACCTGACAAGGCCGGAGATGAAATATCTACATACATCTTATAAGAGTATAATACATTATGTATAATATCCGTTAAAATAAGTGCTTCAACATAGTTAACATTGCTGGAGGTACGCACAAATATTGATAGATGTCTTGTAATGCGCTATTGAGGAACCTGCGACCCAAGTTTTTCATTCAATGCATAACTACACCATAGTTGTGTAGGCCTATATGATATGTCAATAAACCTTAGAAAATCTTGAAAGGGATGTGCAAAATAGTCATTATATACAGTCTTTAATTAACTATTAGTAGAGAATAACGAGTAATGAATATACTTTATAGGGATCCTATTAATATCTAATAATAAAAATAATGAAATTCAATAACATGCTTTAACCACTAGGTGTCCCTTTCTATCAGCTGTGCACCTTTATGGTGTAAATACAGCCTATCTACCAATTGGATCAAATATAAAAGTCAGCCGAATTAGTGTTGATACTGCAAGGAGATGTATTGTGTGAAAAGAAATGTAAGATGTTGTTTAATTGCTGATATATTTATGATCCACGTCACGTTTTCAGTTCCTCATGTTTGTCTAGAAGTCTTCTCATCAGGGCTCTATAAATACAGAACTACGGCAGATATGTAATATTTAATGCAGCCGAACCGTGTATTACAATGCCGTTATGTGATGACTTTCAAAGAGAAAAGCAAGCACACTCGGAATAAAGTATTATTATTTATTTTTTTTAAAGTTTTCGGTCTGTTTCCGGTATTTGTTAATGACGATGTGCTCTGAGATGTGAGACTGGAATTGCACAGGGGAAAATAACGTAGGCTATCTTTAGATGCGGATTTTGTTAAACTAATATGTTTGCGCTGTGGACCAACACTATACATTGACGGGGAAGGGGGTAGCAATAAAGATAACACCATTAAACAGTTACACAACATAACAGAAATAATATCGATAGCAGCGTCCCTAGCAACCACCTTGGTAACAATGAAAACGTCGCGATTTCCTGAAGTAATCTTCGTAATAATTAGCAAACTAAAGATCATGTACATCCACTGCACACATAATCTGAAATAACAACTCATATTTCTCGCATCAAATGACATCAAAAACGCATTTTTAATGGCCAAACTAACTTTAAAATAGGCATTTTCCACCGAGAATAAAACGAAGTTCGGCCATGTTTTTTTTTTCTGCAGGGAGACATTTGAAGATCACGTGACATAGACGCCAGCCATTGGAATGAATGGTGAAAAAAAACGGGTTTGTCAAACAGAGCACATGGTGTAGTCCAAACGATAGCTGGGGATTCTGGGTAGTGTAGTGTCTTCTGCCATCCTTTACTCCGAAAACATATTTGTTTCTCCGAATCGAAGGGGAAAAATACAAAAGCATTGCACACAATTTAAACCAATCAATGTTGTGTAATTAACAAGGATAATCTGGTGTTTTTTTAGTCAATGAGTAGTGCAGATATCACTGTAAAATCAATCGACAGTAAGGGGAATACTTACTTCCGGGTGTACAATTCTCCGTTATCCAATGAGAATGGACGCTCACATTGCCTTTAAGGGCAGCCGACACAAACGAATGCCGTGCTTCCATGAGCGTCAAATCCCGCCGCAGATGGGAATACATTACAATCAGTTGAAAGCTATTTGCGTCCCTTTATGACGCTGAAGGAGCCTAGGAGCGTCACAACTGGACGTCACGGACACTGACCAAACGTCGCTCATGGACGCTTAGGGAGTGAGAGTGTGTTGTTCCAAAAGGAAAAGCTGAAGATCTAAGACTTCATTGGATATACAACTCGTTTTTAAGATAATCATTAAAACAAAGCAGCCCATCATTTCACAACATTGTCTCCTTCACTGTAGCTATGGGGACCACCAGCCATTGTAGTGACACATGTTTCTGGAGTGCTACCTGTCTGGGTGAGTATACAAAAGCGGTTACACCGACATCAGCTTCTGCGAGGACAGCAGCGTACCATCATACACCAGGAATAATCATGGTGTGTTCCAGTTGTACTGGGAAGTAGGAGTTTATGAGTTTCCAGTCAGAAATGTCACTGGAATGCCCCCTGAGGACCTACTTGGAAACCTGGAGATACCTCACCAAGATCATCATTCAAAATGTAATCTCCGCATTTGAACACTTTGATAATATAACATTTTTAGCTCCTCTGTATTATTGGTTTCACATTAAATCAACTGTACATATGGTACTGCTCATTTTCTATTTGTCGATATGTTGCTATGATGTTTGTATTTACAAAATACTCACAGTAATAAAGCAGTTATCAACCGTTTGTTTGAGTTAGCCGGTTGGCCTAACCCAAAACATTCGCGCTCTCGCTAAACGGTCCTACGACGCTGGTTATCAAGTGGATCGCTCAAGCCAGCCGTGTCCTATCTAGTTAGGTGCGCGTTCACATGAAAGGGGTGGTATTTGGAGCATTCGACCAATCACAAACATGGAGAAGCATACTGACAGCGCAGCGTCATACTTCCTGAATGAAAAGTCAACTATAATATTAGACATGAAGAAGTTAAACTTTAAACATCCATGACTCAAACACTTTATCCAGGATCAAAGCCACAGAGCTGCACCTGCAAGGTGAATACAGCTGGGAACAGAACAAGTGTTTGAATGCGTACATTAACAGGTTTATGATATCACTGCCCCGTCTAAGACACCATCTGACTTTCATTACATTTGACTCCAGTGTTTCGTCAACTTAATGTGTTGCTTAAAATAATACTTCTGCATACAGTATGTGACACTGAGTGTTGCACGGCCTGATACGGCTCAGCTGACTCAGATAAGGAAATATATGATACATTATGAAGTGATATGCCGCGGACTGTACTTAATGTTACTCTGATCCGGTTACTTATGTTGTGGCAGATATTTAAGTAAGCTTTCTTAACGCTAATGTTATAATAGTCAGATTGCTCTGAAGATGGAGGTGATATTCTATTCATGTTCACGTTCACACAGTCGGTGATTTTTGCCGGCCGTCGTTTCTGTATTTCCTTTCTCCTGTAATATGAATTGATCGCTTTAACCTCCGCACACTGAGCTCTGATTGGTCAGCAGGCGGTGCTTTCACTGAGTTGAGCTCTTAGCCTGCAACCTAACCTGGTCCGGAGCAGGTTAGCCCTCAGCATAAGTTACCATGGAGATATAGCCCGCTAAAAAGAGAACCAGCGTCGTAGGACCGGAAACCCCAAGTTTTCTGTTTGTGGACTTCAGCTCCACCTTTAACACCATCACTATCCCGGCTCAGCTGACTCCACCTGCAGGGGGATCACACTTCCTGTCTGACAGGAAGCAGTACTCTGTAGTTGTTTTGCATCTTTTGCAATTTGTGTTCAGTCAATTCGAATGACCCCTTGACTTGCCCACTGCCCAGTAGGTCTGTACAAATATTGACGAGAATGTGTCAAAGGTGGTGAACACAAACCAAACCAATAGCAAGAAGTTGTGTGTGTGTGTGTGTGTGTGTGTGTGTGTGTGTGTGTGTGTGTGTGTGTGTGTGTGTGTGTAATGTACCTGCAGGATCATATCCGAGTGTGTACGAGTCATCAGTCTGAGGGGCGGGGCCGTGGTTGGAGGGCGGAGCTCTGGAGTGTTGTCGCTGGCCGGGCGTTGAGGCTTGGCGGGAGAGAGTAACGCCTAGGGACAAGGACACAGGTTCAAAGCTGGCATAGATGAAGGAAAGAAGTGTTGGTGATGCAGGTCTGTTCCTGAGCTTTCGGAAACAGGCAGTTAGGAGTCCTGTGAGAACATAATGAAGTTCATCATGTATTCCTGTTCACAAAGTATCTGGAACAACTGCTAAAAAAGGAAAAAGTCTCTGCAAATCCTCTCCGGTGTTACATAAGAGGCTGCTGAAATAAAGTGTTAGATCTCCAGTGACTCTGGTCACAGAGGGATTACTTTTTCTTTGTGTCTTGTTGGTCCACTGATGCTGACATATTGACACTGACACAGAGCACAGAGCGCACACACACACACACACACACACACACACACACACACACACACACACACACACACACACACACACACACACACACACACACACACACACACACACACACACACACACACACACACACACACACACACACACACAGAGGGCTTTAGCACTGAGCTGACACTTTGCAATCTGGTCATAGTAATCATATTAATGTGTGGTGTGTGTGTGTGTGTGTGTGTGTGGGTGTGTGTGTGTGTGTGTGTGTGTGTGTGTGTGTGTGTGTGTGTGTGTGTGTGTGTGTGTGTGTGTGTGTGTGTGTGTGTGTGGTGTGTGTGAGCTGTTATTGGACCAATCACTGTGCTCATTCCGCTGTTTGAATGTCTGAGGAAGTATAGCTGCTAAAGAAGCAGGGATCATATTCCTCTTTATCATAGGGATTAAATCTGATGATATACTGACTGTAGAGATATATTGTTAGTCCAGATATAAGCATTGCTCTGGGTACTCAGCCTTTTTACAGAACTCTGTCAGCGTGCTGTTCTGTCAGGAACTGTGACATCAGAGACTCTCAGTGCTTCTATTAAAGAAATAAACTACCATTTTAAATAGTGTATTATCCAAATGCATAAGCATATAGTGTGTAATGTAGGGTTGCTATAACTAAAGTATGAGGCCATGCTGTTGGGTTTCGACGTACTGTACAGCCCACTCTGTAATTGAACCTGGGACCTTTGGACCCCCGGGGTCTGGTTGACAATACACTCCATGAAGAGTATTGTTGAAAACAAAGAGCTATAGAAACATTAAGATGATTTAAAACAATTATTGTTTATACACGATGTTCTGAGGTTCTGAGTTGAGGTTGGCCAGATTCTAACTTCATATACCTAAAAAAAAAACATGCAACATAAAAAAATATATTGGGTGTACTTGTACAAATGTGTACTTATTAACTTGTCACCACTGAGTGTGTTTGAGTTGTTGTGTCTACCTGCACGTCTGCTGAGCACCTCCACCACTGAGGGAGGGAAGAAGCCCATCCGGTCGGCACCCTGCTGGGTGTCATGGATGTGACCTTTCCAGCGTCCGTCTGACTGCTGCTCCACCACCTGACAGCAGCACAGATCAGCTCAACAGTGTGTGCATTAGCCTCACAATAAGCACAGTGACAAAGACCAGGATCAGAAACACCCAGCCAGAGAAATCATTTGATGATGTTAACAACGGGGGGCTGAAATTATAATAATAATGATAATAATAATAATAATAATACATGTTATTTATATTGCGCTTTTCCTGGTGCTCAAAGCGCTTAATTAATGAAAGAACTTTAGACTTAGAGGGGTAATCCTTCCAAGTTATTTTCTCTTGAAAACTGCACATCATCACTTAACCCTTACATGGGCACTCAGTAATTTGGACAATTAATTGATTGCTATTTTCTACATAACACCCATATTACACTGTTAATACACCCATACCAGTGTTTCTCCTATATACAAATAGCGGCGGTGCTGAAATATGCGCGCCGCTGCTAGGCCAGCCAGCCCAATTTTTTTAATTTGTTTTACTTTTTATTTTGTTATTAAAATAATAATAAGTGGCGATCCTTTTTGATTTTTGATTGTTTGTTATGTGGATTGTGTTACTGTATGTTCAATAAAGGTGTATTTTTGCTAAATCTTGAGACATTGCCACTGTATGTACTGGCAGGGCCAATTTTTGGCGACATAGGCGGGGGCGCCAGATCTGGGGGGCGCTGCGCTGGTAGCTCTGGGAAGGGAAAAAATATTTTTGACAGTTGGCGCTCATCCTAATTTTCGGCCTTGATGTACCAACATTCATAATTAAGTAAATGTAACACCCTTTTCACCCCGGTTACACGTTTCATTTGCCCTGTACGATGGGCGCTGTAAGTGATGAAAGTGGGGGATGTTGGCTTATCTGGCCAAAGTGCGAGCGTGGGAGCGAGCGAAGGAGAGAGAGAGGGCGCACCGGTACCGGCGCTGTTGTTATTAGAATCTGGTGCTAGCTGCGCTAACGGATATAAGAAGTAGATCTTTCTACAACCAGGGTGGAGGAGAGCTCTCCTGTCAGACTGAGAGGCTCAGTGAGGTAAAGGACTCTCACCAGTGTTTAGATAGTTCATTTTAGTCTAAGTTATCTCAGTGGGTTCAGAGTGATTGCATGCACTGATTCAGCTTAGCGAATCAGTACATGCAAGCTAAACGGAATTGAGGTACGCAAACAAACGATTAGGCACACACAGACCGCTATTCTTTTTCATTTACATTATATACTGCTGGGTAGCTTGTGAAATTCACCATGGGATCAATAACATTTGATCTTAACATATAATAATACATGATAAACTATTTCTTGATTATATTTTGTAGTATTCTGAATCTTCAAAGTTACTAAAGTTATCAAATAAATGTAGCACAGTATAAAGTACACTATTTACCTGAATGGGAATGGAGCAGAACAGTACTTAAGTAAATGTACTTTATTACTGTTCATTGTTGAAGATTGAAATGTAAATTTGAAGACGGTTTCTGCCCCTCTATTCACATACTGTAACCTTTCATACGTGAGGTTGGCTTCATTCTCCCATTATCCTCCACAATCTGCCTAGAAGTATTTTAATGTTGTAGCTGTTCAAGATGGTCATTTTAAAATGTTTTAAAAATATACTGTTAGTAGTTAAACCAATAGTAATGCTAGGGCTGCAACTGACAGTTATGTAGGCATATTTTAATTGTTTCTTAACGCTGTGTGATTAAAAGAATAAACACAAATAGCGGGATAGGCACACAAAGTTGCTATATCTTGCCCCACTAAAAAGGCACTGCACCGATACTGTTAAAAATATTGGCTTAGTTCATCCCTGTGCTGCTTGGCTCGAGCTGTAGCATTGGTGGTGCAAATTCAAACGTATCTTTCGATCCTGTATGAATTGTGCCATGAATTACACATATGATGTTTGTCAATCTTTAAAAAAAAATCCATGTAAAAAAAGTCACAGTTTGTCGTAAAACTGTTGAAATATAAGACTATGAAAAATATGCAACTAGAAAGACTACAAATCCCAGAATCCCGGTCCCGCATGCTGGCTCTTACGGAACCGACTAACTCCCTTTTGTATTTACAGCTCTCAACATGCCCAGACTTGTAGTGATTTTCACCTCTTTTAATACTTTTCGCCTCATTCTGAAAGAAAGAAGTGAAATGTGCTAGAATGACGGCCTTCTTGGTGTGTTGTGCGAGACGGGAGATGTAGTTAATTGAGTGGTTTCACACAAAAAAGTGTTACTTCACAGTTTTACGACAAATTCTTATTTTTTGACTAAAATTGTCTAAAATTGACAAACATCATGTGTAATTCGTGGCACAAGTTCGAAAGATACGTTTTCTCTCTCCATTGACTTCAATACATAATTTTTCAGAAATAAGGTCCCATGAGGTCCACCGGAAAGGGAGGGACTTCGCCACTCTATAGTCTTTTGATCCCATTTGAATTGTGCCATGAATTACACATATGATGTTTGTCAATCTTAAAAAATCATTTCCATGTCAAAAGAGTCACAGTTTGTCGTAAAACTGTTGAAATATAAGACTATGAAAAATACGCAACTAGAAAGACTACAAATCCCAGAGTAAGTGATGTCATAATGATGTCATAATTGTTTTCCTCCACTAAATATAAGTGATGTCATAATTGTTTTCCTCCACTAAATATAAGAGATAGCTAAAATAAGCCTACAAAGCCCTTAATGGACAGGCGCCATCTTACCTTAACCAGTTTAGCCCTGAGCCTGTTTTTCAGGCTCGAAAATGACATTCCCAGAACAAATGACCATATCTTCCCTTCTAAATGGGTTAAATTAATAATCTTTTTTCTCAAAGTAATGATAAACCTGTGAGTTTGATGTAGAAAAGTCAGAATCAATATAGATGTTTTTTATTTTAAAGAAAATTCAGATTGAACATGGTAAAAAACTGTAAATTATAGTGTCCGTCCAAAACATATTTTGTACTTATAGTGAAAACTAACCTTGGATGATGGGTTAGTAGACGAAAAGCTTTAGGAAGTACAACATATGATAACTGTATCAAGATTGATGCAAAACAAGTGATATTTGACCTTTTTAGACAGATTTAGCAAAGAAAACCTCTTCTGGGGCCATTTGGGTGGATTTTCCTTATCTCTGGCCCCCCTTCTTCGATTTTGACATGTGACATCTCTTTCTGACCGTTAGAGCCAATAGAATCAAAGGGAAATCTCCCCGCACACACTCATGTTAAAAAAAGATGGCGTCTTCGCGTAAACAGTTTTGCTACAGAGTGAAGCTGTCTCTAGGTCTGACATCTCAAAACCGAAAAGCAGATTTATTACTCATGGATGATCAGAAATCATTCAAAGTGACACAGACAAATTGGATTAACCTATGGATTAACTTCAGTATCGTTTTTATCGTTTTAATGCCATTGAAGAACACTTTTGACCAGACTACCACACAGGTGAGCCATTTTGCCGTTTTTAGCTAACTAGCTCCATATGTTTTGTGTTCTTGTCATTATCTCCGAGAAATCGTATAATTGAGTGATAATGAGGATAACCATCGATTCTGTGTCCCCTCACGATGTGAAACGATGGGTTGAGATGTGCAGCAAAGATAAATAATAAGGTTTTGTGAGTGAATTTCGGTGCAGTCATCTGTTAACCTTTTTTCGCTCGTTGCTAATTCAGAGGCTCAGCGTTAGCATTGTGGGGGTTTTTTTGAAAAAAAAATTAAAATGATCAGTTAGATGAGTTTCTTTCCGTTACATGGATATAAAACATTCATAGTTTATTAAATGAACATGCCCTCAGACACTGTTTTCTGCAAGATATTGCAGGAGGCCCCCGGAACCGGGGTCTCTCGGGCTTAACAGGTTAAATAACTCATTATACCCTACTGTCCTACTAGGGCATTGCGTTCCAAGAATGCAGGGTTGTTGGTTGTTCCTAGAGTCTCTAAAAGTCCAATGGAAGCCAAAGCCTTTTCTTATCAAGCTCCACATTTGTGGAATCAGCTTCCAGTTTGTGTTCGGGCGGCAGACACCCTTTCCGTTTTTAAGAGTGCACTTAAGACCTTCCTTTTTGATAAAGCTTATAGTTAGGGCTGATTAGATTCAGCCCCTAGTTTTGCTGATATAGGCTTAGTTTGTCGGGGGACATCTTACTTCTTCCTTCTCTCTGTCTATACCTGTGTACTCTCATGTTCCGATTAACCCAGCTTCCCCAAATCTCTTTCTTTTTGGTGTCTATATACGCCGGGATCCGGAGTCATGGATGATCCTGCGGTCCTATGTCCTGCATCGCGAGCCCTGGATCTTGAGTCGTGGCTGTGGTCCTGGATCATAAGTCCTGGATGGATATCCTCGTGGATTCATCTTCCTATTATACACACATGCATTTCCAAACATTTGGACTACCTATGTTGCAAATGTATTATCTTTTCAATTTACACACAGCATCTATTGCACGTCTGTCCGTCCTGGGAGAGGGATCCCTCCTCTGTTGCTCTCCCTGAGGTTTCTCCCATTTTTCCCTTTAAACTGTGGGTTTTCTCCGGAAGTTTTTCCTTGTACGATGTGAGGGTCTAAGGACAGAGGGTGTCGTATTGTCATACTGATATTCTGTACAAACTGTGAAGTCCACTGAGACAAATGTAACATTTGTGATATTGGGCTATATAAATAAACATTGATTGATTGATTGATTGATTGATTGATTGATTGATTGATAAGATAACTTTAACAAGATGCCTGTGCGCTTAGTACCAGTTTGTTATCATACCAGCAATGGGTCTTGCTCGTTCTTTCGCTTCCCGTCTGATGAAAGGACCAGGAGTGACTGGATCAAGTTAGCTACCTAGCTAGTAGCAAGCACGTTAGTTAGCATTACAGCCTTAGCCTTGTCATTTGTATTAGCCTTAACATGAAGTAACATTAAGTAACCCAAAATGTTAAACAGTAAGAGTAGTAGTCATATTTTGTGAACCCTTTGTACTGTCACACCGGTGTGATCATTCTTAATACACCGTTTAAGCACGGATGCCCCCTC